GCCAGGCACCTGGGCATACAGGCCCAAAATCCTGAGAGGAAAATGTAGGAAAACGGTCATCACGCCTGGAGGGTGATTTCTCTCTTTCCTCTCTCTGTCTCTCTGTCTCTCCAGTGAACATTTGCACATTATAGCAAAAATCTCTCCAAAAAAAACTGAATCTTTTATTTGACACTTCACATAAAGAGGAAGAAGAGTAAATTGTACATTAAAAACCAACATAGACATCACTGTTACTATCAACAACTATTTATTAAGTCCCATCTAATGGCATCTTCCATCGGTACTTTATTAGAGAAGCCTATGATCCCAGTTGTCTTTATCAAATGTCTCAGTTCTCTATCTTAGTTCCACATCCTTCCTTTCTAAACACATAGCACTTCTACCTGTCCTCCTTTTTGATTCCTGTTATGCAGGGTATCCTTAACCTTAAACCAATTTCTTCCCTCTTCTAATTTCTTAAAGAAAAAACTCACTCTTCTCTGAAGGGCCATTTTTCTCTGGTCTCCTTTCCTATGAATGCAGATAGTACATAGATATGACATTTCTTATCCCCTCACAATTCCTCTGCTTAACCTTTGCCTCGTCTTGTCCATCATGCCCATTATCTGATGACTGAAATAGCTTCCTATTCTACTGAGAAAAGCAAATAGTACTATCTGTAATAATAATACTTGCTTTATTTATTAAATATTTTCTATGTGTCAAAAGAATTCACAAAACTCTTTAAAATAAGTAATGCTGTCTCCATATTGCAGAGGAGCAAACCCAGTATACATTAAGGTCAAGAAATTTTCTTTAGTAACCCAGCTCTGTTAAATTTCAAAATCTATCTTCTTTCTCCTATCCCATAAAGCTTCTAAACATGTCCACCTTAATTCTGCTCCCTATAATCACAGCCAAAGTAATGTATCTAAATGTCAAAGCTGATTTCATCATTCCCTGATTAAAGGTCTCTAAGACAAATTCCTGAGGCTGATATACAAAGCCTCCACACATGGCCCTCCATTCACTCCTCTTCAGTCATTGTCCCCAAATTACACTATTCTTCTACCAAGATGTTTGTTATTCCTTGCACCAACCAATTAGTTTCATGTCGTATATTTCTATTCATATAGTTTCTTCTACCCAGAATATACTTCTATCTTTGAATCATCTTATAAGACAGCTGCTTTCAGAGACAGCCTCCCTGAAGTGCCCAAGCAGGCTAAAACCCTTAACTGGGGACCAGGCAATGACATAGCAGTAACTCAATGTTCTACAGTACTGGACCCACATGGGAAGGTCTGGAGTTTTAGTCTTCACAAAGTGAAGACCCTGTTGGAGAAGTCTCTCTCTCTCTCTCTCTCTCTTTCTTGCCCCCTGCCCCACACACACTCTCTCTGTTTCTCGTGGAAGAAATCAGCTTAAAAAATCAAATCAAAACCAAAACGATACATAAAAAAATCTCAACTGGGCTTCTGCAGTGCCCTCAGAGAATTTCTAGCCCAACACCTATGCTATCATATTGAAATGTCTTTTCATAGGGGGCTGAACTGTGGCACATCCATAAAATGCCACACTCTACCAGGCAGACCCACATGGGAAGGTTGCCAGTTCACAGCTAGAGACCTCCTTTAGTCCATCAGGCATACATGTGTGTATGATCCAAGCAGGCTGCCTGGGGGTAGACTGCAGCATTGAGACCCAGTTGGGGGTATTATATCTCTCTGTCCCTTTTTCTTTCCCTCTGTTACTCTCATTCATGGAATAGACGAATAAACTTTAAAAAGAAAAGAGAAAAAGGATGGTGTCTTTATGAATGTTTTCTCCCAACTAGCCTATAAGTTCTTTAACAAAAGAAATGACAAAGCTTTCATTTTGCACCCACCATACCCCCACCACAGTGAACAGTGTCTGGCATAAGATAATCACGCAAATAACGTTTGCGGGTCTAAGAACGACACAGCAGTGAGATCATCTTCCAAACCCACTGCAGTTTCTTGAGCATGGAACAAATGTGCCCATACTCCAGACCTTCAGGATCTTATGCCATCTGCTTTCTTCCTCAGAATCCTCTTTAAAAAAAAAAAAAAATTGCATTCACATAGACCAACTATGCTATTTATAAATGACCATCTTCATCATTTTCTCTTATAACACTTTTATCAATATAAAAATTCATATTGATGACTTTCGAAAAATTCTTTAACTTCATGGTTCTCCTTTTCCTTAATGATACTATCCTCCAACTTGTGTTCACAGAAGTCACTCATTAATGACAAATGACTCTCCGAGGTGAGGCTCTCTAACAGCGCTTTCCACTTCAAGCTAATGTTTACTGAATGGCCACTCTGTCCCAGATCCTATGTTAGGTAACGTCTCAATTTATCTTCTCAACAATCCAATGATTGTCCATTTATTCATCAATCTCCTATTTCTTCACATCAATCTAATCTTCTCCCTATGTTATTGGTAGGTTCTAATGTTTTTAAGCAAAAAATTCTTCTGAGGCCATTCATTTCATTCTTGTCATCCTTAGAATTCCATTGTGAATCTTTCCATTAGACATTAGCCTTAGTCTCCATCTGGAAGTCATTTCTTATAACAGGAGGACCTAGAGGGAATCCTCCTTTTATAAAACTGCCTCTTTCATTTTTTGTTGAAATACTAGTGGGATTATTTATTGATTTGTTTTTCTCTCTTACTAATCCATGAATCTCTGAAGTATATGCAGCACATTGTATTCATGTTTTCAGCTTTGGCTCCTAGTATATTGTATAAAATATAGCAAGTCTTAAATGTTTGCTAAATAATGATCCTTCACCTTCTTTTACTTTCAATATTTAGGTATAAAAGATCTATTGTATACATCATTTATGTGCAATGTCCAGAATAAGCAAATTTATAGAGACAAGAAGTAGATTAGTAGTTGTTTAGGGCTCACAGAGGAGAGAGTTAGGTACAAAGTAATGGGAATTTATTGCTAATAGGTACAGGGTTTGTGTAGAGGGGCCAAAATGTGCTGATGGCTGCATAATTCTGTGAATACACTAAAAGATGTTGAATTACACACTTTAAAAATTTATTTTAAGGCTGACCATGAAATCTAAAAAAAGGAAGAATATGTTCTACTTTTTCTTCTCCTTCTTTCATTATTTATTACAGCTTTACTAAGATATAATTCATGTAAATAACAACGCTTCATTATTAACATAGAAGACTCTATGAATCCTTCAGAAAATGGACCTTGTCTTGTATATTTCAATATTCCTAGCACAGTGTTCACAAATTAGTAAACACTCATTCCATGTATGGGGAACCCATGGCTTTGAGTTTATTGCTACTAATTTACCTATGCTCTATAGGGATTAAATATAATATATCTTTATAGGTTGACTTGAGGGAAATCAAAGCACCATTTATAACATAATTTTTTTGGCAAAATATATATTCAAAGCCAAAAAAATGAGGTCTACTAGAAATCTTTCTACTCATAAATAAATTAAGCCTATGATTTATCTTGCAAAGCACTACTACTCCTACATCCCAATCCTCTTTTAGAGGAAGATCTGTTTCTCCTAGAAACACTTTGATTGTTTGTGTTGTTGTAACAAATCTAGAATGTTCCAACCTCCAGGTTATGAAATACTGTTCCTGGAAGAAGGGTTTTTGAGGAATGAAGAATATTTACTTCAAGCTAAATTCAATACTTTACAAGGCAGCTTTCTTTTTTTTTTAAATTATGCTCTCACTGTATAATAGAAAATAAAATAATGGGACTTTAAAAAAATATTGTTAAATGAGTCAGTATATCCATGGAGAGTCATTTGTATAAGCATACAGTCCTCTTTTATAAGAAATGAAATCTATCTGTAAATTTTTAATGTAATATTAGCCCCTTTCCATGTTTCATATATTGCATTTTAAGCTTCACTTTATTTCCTACTCAATTTTTTCATAAAAGGTGATATAAAGGAATGCATTAGTGCCAAATGCCATGTGTTGTCGAAGATTAGGATCACTAGTCAGTCAATACTATTGATAATGACATATTCCTTGCCCTAACATTGTCATCAATAATAAGGGACCAGTAGATGGCATAATGAGTGTGTTGCTGGACTCCCATGTAGTCAACCATGGTTCAAGTCCCAGATCTGTTGGCTTAAAACTAACACCAGGTGTGTGTGTGTGTGTGTGTGTGTGTGTGTGTGTGTGTGTCCAAGATTCTGAAAGGAGAATGGAGGAGAAAGAATTGCAGCGTGGCCGCCATCCCCTGTGGGGTGGGGGTAGGGGGTGATTTCTCACCTTCTATCTCTTTGTCTCTCTGTCTGTCCAGTGAGTGCACTTCCCCTACTGCAAAAATCTCTCTCTTTCAAAAAATAATAATTGAACCCACAATCATACAATGTGTGTACTGAACAACACAAGATCCACATGCTAACTTTACTTGAAATATCTGATGTAAATTCTAGATAATTACCTCATTCCTCAATATTGTTATAAAATGAGCAAACAGCATCATCTTCATTTTACCTCTGTTAGAACTGCAATCACTAGAGATTACATGATTATATGTTCAAGGCTATGGATAAGATGTAATTACAGTTTTACTTCGCCTATTCTCTACTGGCAGAGCAATGTCCATGCGTTAGGCTATGGTATTATTAAGATGATTAAAATCCTATTCTGAAATTTGTGGAGTACTTTTGTAAAATGCATGCCACTACAACGTCCATTGAGGACCTCTGTATCACTAACGAGTGGTCAAAACTCTCAATATTTCATAGGAGTTTTATTCTAATAAAACCAGACCACCATTTAAAATGAATTGCATCTATTTTATGTGTTTGTAAGCTTCTTAAAGCAAGGATCACATGTCTTAGCCATTGATCTACCCATAGTAGCTTACTCATAAAGAATAATGTAGGTAGACTGGTTGAATAGGGTGTTAAGTATAAATTTCAGACATTTTGAAAGTTTCATATATAAAATCAGAAATTTTTCACATAATTGCTTACCTCTTCTAGTTGGCATGCTTTGATGACACTCCTATATCTATACTCATCATAGGAAACACCAAAGATGATGTTTTCTTTAATGGTACCAGGCATAATCCAGGAAAACTGAGAACAAAAAGAAATTCTTCCACTGTGCTTAATTTTACCCTCTGATGGTTCGAGTTCTCCCATAATCATCATGAGAAGTGAAGTCTGAAAATAAAAAATAAAAAATAAAAACATTTTTAGTAAGCCTTGAGAAAAATCAGTTTCAGGATTCACTTGCCTCCAATGATCACCCTAAGCAGAGGTATTTATTATGATTTTAAAAGATGTTATTAACTAATGTGATTCCAAATTAGTTAAGCACTGCTTCAGGTCTGCTATGCACAAAAGATACAAAGGGGAATAAAAGAGACAGTTACAGTACAGAGCAACAAGTGCTACTGGAGATGCACAGGGAGGGGCACTTCATTCAGAACACTGAGACAGGTTTGGGACAAGTCCAGGAATAATTAGTAACAACTAATATGTGCTGAACGCTTGCTCTGTGCTGGGTGCTGCTCCGGGTACTTTAATTTTATTAATTAACATAATCTTCACAATAGTTTAGCAAGCTAGATTCAGTATTACCTTTTTTTTTGAGAGGTTTTTGCTATAGGGCGCGTGCCCTCGCCAGAAAGACAGAGAGAGACAGAGAGACAGAAAGCAAGAAATCCCCCCCCAGGGGGGATAGCCATGCCACAATCCCTTCTCCTCCTTTCTCCTCTTGGGATCTTGGGCACGCATGCACACGCACCCGGCGTGAGTTTAAGCCACTGGGTCCAGGACTCGAACCGCAGTCGACTACGTGGGAGTCCAGCGACATAGCCATTATGCTAACTGCTGGTCCCAAAAGATGCATTTTGTGTTAGATTCATGTAGTCTTACAAGACCAAGTGAGTTCTAGTTCAATGAGAAGGGGTTTATTCTCATGAGAGCTGGTTGCTATAAAAGAGAGATGCAACCTGCAGCTGTTTCTCTCTCTGCACCTGTCATCTTTGGCACTTCTATCAGTCATATTGTAGGCTAATCTGACACCAGTCCTACGCTTTCAGATTTTCCAGCCACCATAATTGCGAGTTAATAGAACCATTTCTGTATAAGTCACCCAATCTCAGGTATTTCTGTTAGCAACACAATAATGGACTAAGACAGCATTAAATGAAAAAAGTGATATTCTTGAAGGAAAAAATATAGAACCTGTAAATAGTGTAATAGACAGAAGTCTGTAGTAGAGCCTTTAGATCAACTCTGTTAATAGTAGAGCAAGTAGCAGATGGCATAATGATTACGTCACTGGACTCACATGTAGTTGACCATGGTTCGAGTCCTGAACCCAGTGGCTTAAAACTCATGGTGGGTGCATGTGTGTGCATGCCCAAGATTCCAAGAGGAGAATGGAGGAGAAGAGACTGTGGTGTGGTCATTCCCCTAGGAGCAATTTCTCACTTTATGTCTCTCTGTCTTTGTCTCTCTGGGAAGTGTACACACCCTATAGCAAAAATCTCTTTCTTAAAAAAAATTAAAAGATAAGTGAAGATACAGAAAGCCTAAATGGCATGAGTAATGAGGCAGATTTAATATCTATGTCAAACTCTTATCTTTTAATAGATACAAAATGAATACAATCTATTTTTAAGAATTATTTATTTTATTTTATCATTATTATTATTCAATTTGACCAGAGAAAAAGAGAGAGAGAGAAAGAAATCGAGCCTCTAGGTCCAGGACTCAAACTGCAGAAGGCCATGTGGGAGTCCAGTGCCTTAACCACCAAGCCACCTGCTGGCCCCAAATACAATCTTTTTATACATGGTCAGGGAGCAAGCACAAGAGTGATTATTTTTTGGACATACAAAAATGATGTTAATTTCCAGGAAGTAGAAATAATATAACAATAGTCTCAGAAAACAAAGAAAAATTTTTTATGTTTGGAAAATTTTAAACTTTCCTTAAGAAATAAACCTGTCCTTCAGTCAAAAAATTACAAACCGGGGAACCAGCAGTTAGCGTAATGGCTATGTCGCTGGACTCCCACGTAGTCGACCGCGGTTCGCGTCCCGGACCCGGTGGCTTAAAACTCACGCCGGGCGCGTGTGCGTGCGTGCCCAAGATCCCGAGAGGAGAATGGAGGAGAAGGGATTGCGGCGTGACCATCCCCCCTGGGGGGTGATTTCTTGCTTTCTGTCTCTATGTCTCTCTCTGTCTGTCTGGCGAGCGCACGCGCCCTATAGCAAAAATCTCTCCAAAAAAAAAAAAAAAATTACAAACCAAATTTTTCCCTGGGGTCAAAGAGAAAAATACAAACCAAACCTACAGATTTTTCTAGAAAACAATAAAATAGAAATACTATAGATCCAGATGCATCCTACATCACTGAAACATTTCCCAGAGGAAAATGCATAGCTTAAGCATCAAGCATTTAATTTAACAAAATAGAAAAGCTCAACCTAGGGGTCAGCAAGTGGCATGGTGGTTAAGGATACTAGACTCCCATATGGCCGACTGAGGTTCAAGTCTTGGACGTGGCAACCTGCTTTCTCACTTTCCCTTTTTCTCTCTTTCACTCTGCCACTCTCTGGTCAAATAAAATAATATAAAATTAAATAAAGTTAAATAAAATAATCTTTCCTTTTTTAAGAAAAGAAAAATCCAACCTAATCTCGTGGCACAATAGATAAGAAGCTACGCTGCAGTTCTGAAAGCCAAATTCCTAACCATGGCAGCAGATTCCATGCCAGGTGTGAGCATGTATGTCCAAGACACTGGAGGGCCTGAGAAAGAGGATTTCAGTATGACAAGCCCCTGTCCAGGCTGTTTCTCGCTCTTCCTCTCTCTCTCACATGCACATGCACGCGCGCGCACACACACACACACACACATACATGCACACACATATGCATTTTCTATCATGAATAAAATATTTCTTTAAAAAAATAGAAAAATGACAACAAAATAATCAAAAGAAAAATAGAAGGGAAAATAAAATAATAAATTAATGAGTTGCAATACACAGAAGAGCTGAAAAAATTAACATATCGAAATGCTAATTTTGGGAAAGCTTATTTTTTAAAGAATTATTTATTTTATTTATTTAATTTATTAGTATTATTACTATTTTTTTTACTTCACCAGAGAGAAAGAGAGAGAAAATAAGAAAGCAAGTCACTAAGTCTGAGACTAGAACCACCATCAGCCATGTAAGAATCCAGCACCCTAACCACCACACCACCTGCTGGTCCTAGGAAAGCTTATATTTTTTAATCATTTACCTACTGAGGAAGAAAAATATAATCGAGAAAGTTGCAAAAATGAGGCCAGTCCATAGTTGGGTGGTTAAGGTGTCTAGATCCCACATGGCTGACCAGTTAGAGTTCTGGATGCAGCTGCTTGAAAACCACAGTGGGTGCAGGTACCCAAAACCCAGAAAGGAGAGACAGAAGCAGGAAAAGGGATTTCGGCATCACCGTGTCCCATAAGAGTTGCTTTCTTACGTTCTATGTCTCTTTCTGTCTCTCTGGCAAGCACTCGTGCCTTCTGGGAATCAAAAAAGAAAGAAGGATGCAAAAATGAAATATAAGAAATAAAGGAATAAATAAGAAATAGAAGACTCACAAGAGATTGCTTCAGAAGAGTGAATGAAAGTAACAAATACCAAAGAAAACTAGCTAAACTTATATTAGATAAAAGAGAATAAAAAAAAGTGAACTGATTTCTAGAGTAAATAGCTAAAACTGTTAAAAATTCATGAACATAAATACAAAAACAACTAAGTAATATATTAACGAGTAAGCTCTAGAAGCATATTAAAAGAATAAAGTATCAAGAGTCGTCTATATTTGGTCTCTTCAAGTCTTTCCTCCCCTTATCTCTGATTCCATTCTAGTCAAGTTTTACCCTATTACTGAAGTTTAAACTTATTCCGAAATCGAGTTCCACCTAAAACCTGTTTCTCACATAATCTTTCCAGTATTCAGTCCTTATGTCTTTCCAATTGCTCAGTTCAAAAAACTTGGACACATCCTTGACTCCTCTATGGCTTTTCTCTTATGCCAGGTTCAATTTATCCATTAGTTCTATTGGATTTCCTTTCAAACATTTTCCATATGTGACTATTTCTTATTACTTCCATTAGACATTTATGAGTTTCCCTCCAATTTTTGGCTATTGACAGTGATGCTCTGATGCTTTTCTTTATATAAAATATCTGAAAACATTAGAATAAGTCCTACAAATGGAAGAATTCTTAGTTTTTGTTTTTATTTATGCTAGCATGCAGATGAGTATGAGAGAGAGAAGCACCCTGGACAGGATCTTATCATGCCACAATCCCGTTTTCGTAGCTCACTAACTCATGATCCTGAGTGCCCTCATGCATGGCCATCATGTTGTCAGGACAGTCCAGGGATCTAAACCCATGGTCAGTCATATGGTTTCCAGCACTGCAGGGCACTAGGATTACCACTGTGCCATAGTAGCTGGGTCTATTAGATTATTTTTAAGGTTTTGCTACAAATTACCATCTTGAGAGGGATGAGATTTTACTTAATATGTTAATGCTAGGGACCAGCAGTTAGCATAATGGCTACGTCGCTGGACTCCCATGTAGTTGACCGCAGTACAAGTCCCAGACTCGGTGACTTAAACTCACGCCAGGTGTGTGTGCATGCGTGCCCAAGATCCCGAGAGGAGAAAAGAGGAGAAGGGATTGCAGCATGGCCACCCCCACTGTGGGGAGATGATTTCTTGCTTTCTGTCTCTCTGTCTCTGTCTTTCTGGCGAGCACGTGCGCCCTATAGCAAAAACCTCTCAAAAAAAAAGAAAAAATATGTTAATGCTTTAATTTTTGTTTTCTCTCTTTCTTTTTTTTTAATTATTATTATTTTTTTCCTCTGGAGAGATTTTTGCTATAGGTCACATGCACTCACCAGAAAGAGAGAGAGACAGAAACCTGGGACTTGAACCATGCTCGACTTCATGGGAGTCCAGTGACATAGCCATTATGCTACCTGATGGTCCCAATGCTTTAATTTTTAAATCTTATATTTTACCTAGACATTTTGTACAATAAAATTATAAAATGCTCCATGACTAATACTACAAAAAGGCGGTCTCAAAGATTAAGTTAGCAAACTCAATTTCTCAAAAGTGTTTAATTATTCCTAAGGATAATCCCACTCTGTTTTCATAGTTGCTTCCCATAGATGCAATTTCATCTGTGGCCAGTAATTATCTGCTCATCAATTTTTAATAAAACTGCCTGAAATTCAATTGCTGTTAAATTTTGTAATTTGTAGTTACAAAGCTATTTTCTTACATCTTTTATAGAACTGACCTTCAACATATAAACAGAATTAATTTTTAAAATTCTATGGAACACTATTTGTATCCTCTCATAAGTAAACACCCTTGTTCAGATTATCTGTAACTTCCTTAGCGTCAACTCCTGCGTGGTACAATTTTCTTTTAGTAGTGAAAACTGCTGGTAATATTATACAAGTTATAGAAGGAAAATAATAACATTCCAAGAAAAATTTCTTCTTTTGTAAGGAAAAATGTACAATTATAGTGACTTTCCATAAAAGATCTGTTTCATATGTAGGAAAATAACAGGAAAGATTTTTTAAAAAGGTGAATTGTATTTATTGCTAGCATTGTGGATACCAAATTCATTGACTAGAACTTTTTTGTGGTATTTTTTATTATAACTCTAGAAAGTATTTTGAAAAGCTTTAAGAGGTCATGAACATCTTATATTTCTGGAAAGCACCACAGCTAAAATGACAGTCAAATGGGAACAAGGAGCTATTTTTATAGACTTCTGCAATTGTTTCAGTGTATTCCACAAAGTTTATGTGTTAGAAACTTAGGGACCAGCAGTTGGCATAATGGCTATGTCACTGGACTCCCATGTAGTCGACTGTGGTTCAAGTCCTGGACCCGGTGACTTAAACTCACACCGGATGTGAATGCGTGCATGCCCAAAATCCCGAGAGGAGAATGGAGGGGAAGGGATTGTGGTGTGACCATCCCCCTGGAGGGTGATTTCTCACTTTCTGTCTCTCTGTTTCTCTCTGTCTTTCTGGTGAGAGCATGTGCCCTATAGCAAAAACCTCTCCAAAAAGAAAAAGAAAAAAAAAAAACTTAATTCCCTAAAAGTGGTACCTTTAAAGTCATTATTACAAGAATAGGTTAGTTATCATGAGAGTGCCTTTGTTATCAATGCAAGTTCAGTCCTCTCTAGCCCATTCTTGCAGTCTCTACCCTTTGCCTCCAGCAAAGGAAAGATGCAGCACAAAGGACCTCACCAGCCTCCAGAACTTGAGCCAAATAAACCTCTACTGTTTATAAATTACCTAGTCTGCCATGTTCTGTTATAGCATCATGAAACAGACTAAGACAGCTTCCAAAGCAAATACCTGTAGCTCTTTGCTTATTCTGATACCAGGAATCCTTTTCTTATCTCTAATTAGCTTTCTTAGTGTCCTTTAAATTTATTTCCTCAATAGTTAAAAGAGAACAAGTGTTAATCATTATCTGCATTATTGCTCATATCCTTGAAGATCACTGTAAAGTCTTCTCTACTCCTGATAATAAAGTTTATATTTCAATAAGGTTGATTGTTTTGTTTTGTTTTCTGATCTACTAGTTTTTGTTTTTATATCTCTAAATATCCTATCCTGGATTATGATAAATTGTTCTTGGGCCAGCCGGTGACATGGTGGTTAAGGCAGCTGTATCCTACATGACTGACTGCATGGTTCAAGGCCCAGGCCCAGCAGCATGAACACTATCCTGTGCATATGTGCATGTGTGCCCAAAATCCCAAAAAGAGAAATGGAGGAGAAGGGATTGTGGCATAATTATCCCCCATGTGGAGGAGATGATTTCTTATTTTCCCTCTCTCTACTCCTCTGTCTCTCGTCAGCATGAACATGCATTCTCTGGCTAGTTAAATAATAATAATAATAATAATAATAAGTTGTTCTTAGGATGAGGTGTGGGGCTGGCCCTGACCCTAGTAGTTAAGGGAACTAGATCCCACATGGTTAATCACAACTCAAAACCCAGCCCCACTGGCTTGAAAAACATGGCAGACATCTGTACACGCTTGTTCCAAATCATGACAGGATGGAAAAATGGGGAAGGGATGATGGTGTTACCAGCCCCATTGAGGGGTGTTCTCTCCCTCTCTCTCGTTTTGTTTCACTGTCTCTCTCTGGTAAGCACACACACTCTCTGGCAATTAAAACCAAAGGGATAATACTTGAAGGGGAGGACCACTGAATAAAGTAACATTTCTATGTATTTTCTCAAAAAAATTATACCACTCAATGATATTTTTCCTCACAATATAGCATATGCCAATTTGAGCCCATTCTCCAAAATTCTAATGTCAACAAAATAGGGGCCTTTCATCCACATGGTTACTAAGGTAAGAACTATTCCACGATTTTCCTGGACCAGCTCTGAAAAAAGTCTGTGCTAAAGACTGGTAAAAATGGATGGTTTATTGGTTCGATAAAGTTATGGAATGCCCACCATGCGCAACACACTGTATGCAAAATCTAAAAACAAAGAACAAGATATTGAAAAGAAGATGAGGAAATAGAAAGTTAGAGGCAAATGTCAGTTAAATGATTTACATTATAAGATACACTATACCCAAGTACTCTAATTCTCATGTAAGAATTTTTCCAAAATACCTTCTTAGACAACAAAACAGAAAAAAAAAAATTCATGCAAAATTAAGTTTCTAATGATGACAAATAAGAGACTACCTTGCCAGCTCCAGTAGATCCAGCAACTGCCAACAACTGTCCTCTTTCTATCTTGAAATTAATATCTTTTAGAACAGGAGAACCAAAGAGTGAAAAATTACTGAAGAAGAGGTTATTATCTCCATTGGAAATTTTTCTATTGTTATTGTTTTGTTTTGCTTTTTCTAATAATTCTCCAAATCCCTGTTAAAAAAAAAGAAAAGCTTTTCAGCTATTTTTAATAGAAACTTGTTCTATGTATGATTAGATTGAAGAACATAGGATTTATTACATATGTTATTACTTTATAGTACATAATTACATAACAAATGGTTTTTTTTATTTTTATTATCATCATAATCTTCTTTATATTACATTGGATTACATCTAACTTTACAGTGTATTACATTGCTTTTTCAAAAGGGAATGCCATGCATGTCAGTCAATACAGAGACATTAATCTCCCCACTTCAACATTCAATATCTTTTCTATGATTTTCCCAATCATTATTATTATTATTCTAATTATTTTTTAAAACAGTCAATCACTATTTCTCATTTTGCTTGTAAAAAGACTTTACCCATCATGAAATACTTCTCAGACCACCACCATTTCCAATGGCCTTTCTTTGTTTTTTTTTTTTTTTTTTTTTTTGGAGAGGTTTTCGCTATAGGGCGCGTGTGCTCGCCAGACAGACAGAGAGAGACAGAGAGACAGAAAGCGAGAAATCACCCCCCAGGGGGGATGGTCACGCCGCAATCCTTTCTCCTCCATTCTCCTCTCGGGATCTTGGGCGCACACGTGTCCAGCAACTTCACTGCTTTTATGTCCTCCAATTTTTCGCTCTCTACCATAGAGTGCGGATAGTCGGTATATATTAAGTGGATACATACAATATCTTTCTTTCATAGCCTGGCTTACTTCACTCAGCAATAACAAATGGTTTCTAGTGCATGCCATCCAAAGTATTTGAAAATTATAATATTGCATAGAAGCATAATTTCCCTTTCTTAGATCTTTGTCCATTATCAAATTAAAATAAGTTTCAATTTAATTAAAGACTGAATATATACATATACACACAAATACACATACACACCTCCTATAGGCAGGTACATAAACATTATTATCTAATCCTCAGCATAATATATGAAGTAGATTTTATAATCCTCCTCTTTCAAAGCTGTAGAATATGATTAAGAGAGGTTATGACTAAACTCACTTAATGAGTAGGTCACAGAGTGGAATTACAACCCAAATCTGACTTCTATTCTATCACGCTGATAGTGCCTTCCTCTGAGAAGCTTAAAGTATTTCAAGTGATTATTGTTGAATATATAAATGTGAAGAGATTGTCAGATGATTCAAATGAATTTGTTTATGTAAGAGTGGTTAGGGAGAAGAAATTTCCTTTTAAAAACTCCTTGCCTCATGCCACCCAGATGGCATGGATGTTAAGGCACCATATCCTACATGGCCAACTATGAAGTTCAAGTCCTGAACCCAGCAGCTTGTAAAATCATGCTGGGTGTGTGTGGGTGTGTGTGTGTCCAAAATCCAAAGAGGAGAGTGCAGGAGAAGGGACTGTAGCATGGTCATCCCCCAAAGGGCTGCTTTCTCACTTTCTCTGAAGGGCGTCCTTCTCCCTTTCTCTTTCTCTTTCCAAATACACACCCCCTATAAAAAAAAAAAAAAAAAAAAAGAAAACCAAAAAAAAACATAATAAAGAATTCCTTCTCTTGTCTTTCTAATTCTCTATGGAAAGCTTTAGGGTAGTGATTTTCAAGACAATGTAAACAGCTCTAAAGAGTGACCAGAGGAAGCTAATGCACCTAGGGTTGAGGGAATCTATTTCCAGATCCTCAGCATCCAAATGCACTCTTTATTAAAATTAATTTGCCTGCTGTCAATTCTCCTGACCCACTTCCTTCTTACAATTTCCTTCCCTCATTTTGCACAGAAGAGACAGCCTTCTCTTACTATGTGAGTAAGTACTGGTCTCACTATATTGCACTTGGCAGAGTAGAAAAACCTCTCAGACTTGCTCCAGCTGCTGTGGTGCAGCAGCAACACGGTGCCCCACAAGGCTGGAAGCCACGTGGCCAACAGCAGTTTCATTATTTGAAAACACACCGGACCCATAGGTGGGTGTTCAACATCCTGAGGAGCTGAAGGTGTAGCAAAAGGCACTGCTGTAGCATGACAAGGCCCTGCTGAGGGTGCTTCTCTGTTTCTGCCTCATGCATGCACAGGCAGTAAGAGCTCTAGTGTTAAAAAAAAAAAAAAAAAAGGACCAGCAGTTAGTGTAATGGCTATGTTGCTGGACTCCCACATAGTCAACTGCGGTTCAAGTCCCGGACCTGGTGGCTTAAACTCACGCCGGGCGCGTGTGCGTGCGTGCCTAAGATCCCGAGAGGAGAATGGAGGAGAAGGGATTGCAGTGTGGCCATCCCTCCTGGGGGGGGGTGATTTCTCACTTTCTATCTCTCTGTCTCTCTCTGTCTGTCTGGTGAGCACACACGCCCTATAGCAAAAACCTCTCCAAAAAAAAAAAAAAAAAAAGCTTCTGGAACTCAAACTAGGGGACCATAAAGGAATTATTTTCTCCTGAAAAAGGGTCTACATAGAGGAAAGCCAGAAAAAAAAGTCACACTTTTTCTGACAGAAAGCAAAACATATTTAGTTGATTTATTTAAAAATGAGAAATGACTTTGTAAATTAATTTAATTTCCATAAACTGAATGACTTTGCAACTGTAGTACCAAGGTTATGACCAAAATCCATTTCATATACTTAGATAATATATAATAAGTAAGAAATCACAACCTATGCCACCACCTAAACTTATATTGGAAGATGTATAAATTAAATATGTATCAGGAGGGTCAGCAGATAGTGTCCCACATGGCCAACTCCACAAGAGTGAGTCTCAGACCCAGTGGCCTGAAAAACATGCCAGGCATGTGTCCATGAGATCCCAAAATCCTAAGAGGAGAATGGAGGAGAAGGGACTGCGATGTGACCATCCTCTCCTGGGGGTGATTTCTCATTTTCCTTCTCTATCTCTCTCTGCGTGTCTCTCTGGTAAATGCATGCACCGTGTGGCAAACAAACAAACAAAAAACCATTAAGGATATATAGCTTTTAAAATTCCTTCAGGGCATACACAGCAATTAAGCTGGAAGTCCTCTGCTGTGATGTCTTATGATGTAGATGGTTGACATGCCTCTGCCATCAGGGCTTGTAAAGAGTGGCCAGTGAAACATCTTTAAAAATGAAACAAAGGCATTTTTATCCCTTCTTCATTTATTTATCTCATGGATATTGACTGAGCATCGTTTCTGTATGATAGTCTACTTCAAAGTTCCCACACTGAATGACACACAAACAGATAATAATGATATATTGTGATGTGCTTGGTGCTCCAGCAATGCATGGGAGTGCTAGTCTTCAGGAGCCTCCTCTATTGACACTGCTGCTTTTTTGTTTTGACTCTCTTCTATTAATTTTCAGTTTAGTTGTTTGCTTGTTTTTTACAAGTTTTATAGGTAAAAACAGAATCTTACCGTTGATCTTATTTTTATTTATTTGATCCTTACTAAGCTTGAACATTTTCTGTTTATGGACACCCTGTAGTTGGGAATAGAATGGTAATAGTATCCTTTGTCTTTATCTTAGTCTTTGTCTCCTCTTTTCAACTAGCTGGGTAATGGCCGACAAGTCATAATGTTCTTAGCTTCAGACTCCTGAGTTTTTAAGGGTGCTAACTAAGGTAATATATGTGAAAGCATTTTTGTATACAATAAAACAATAGGAAAACTTTTAAAAAACTTAAGTGGCAATATTGTGAGCTTGAGAAATCTAGGCTGACATTTTAGCTCTGCCCCCTTGCTAGTTACTCTAGTTATTTAAACTCTCTTAAGTTACAACTACCTCACATATAATAGAAATTTTACCTCCTCACAGGTTTGGAACAAAGGAAGAGTCATATATAACTCATCAGGGACTTGCCTATGGAGAGCTGCCTCGAAGCAAATGGAGACTATACTGAAATAAGTGGGTTTTTGAATCTTAAGGAATGACGAATGTGAAGTGTTTGAGGAGCATGGAGGAAATTTGAAAACATATATATGAAGTTCGGGAAATAAATGGGCTAGGTATTTACATTTGAGAATCACTAGCACATTGATGTCAGGATGAAGTTTCTCAGAGAGAGCATGAAATTCTAGGAGGTCTAGATGGAAACCCAGTGGCCCATCACCACGGAAGTGACAGGACGGGCAGACTTAGCTGGGTCTGAGGCTAAAATAGTCTGGAAGGAATGGCTCACTTAGGTTAAATTAAGTGACAAATTCTAGAAGGAAAGAATATTTTGCATAGGTTGGTAAGTTCAGAATCTAGATTGCAGTGGGGAGAATGCCATGAAATGTGAGGAAGTGAAAACAGGTTTGATAGCAAAGGTAAGGAAAGTGATGAAGATTAGGGGATTCTGGGACCAGCAGTTAAAGTAATGGCTATGTCGCTGAACTCCCATGTGGCTGACCGTGATTCGAGTCCCGGCCCCCGTGGCTTGAACTCACACCAGGAACATGGGCATGTGTGCCCAGGATCCCAAGAGGGGAATGGAGGAGAAGGGACTGTGGCATGGCCATCCACCCTGTGGGGGGTGATTTCTCGCTTTCTGTCTCTCTGTCTGTCTCTCTGTATTTCTGATGAGTATACGCGCCCCATAGCAAAAACCTCTCCATAAAAAAAAAATTTAATTAAATTTTAAAAGATTAGGGGATTCTGAGACTGAGTGAGAAAATGTTGGGAAGAAATTTTTTAACTTGAAAATATTTAAATGTAAGGAGGAGTTAGTTGAAAAAGATGTTGAAGCTTCTAGTGAGGGAACAATTGTTCCTCTGTTCTGAGAAGATGAAGCAAGATGGGATAGTTGGTCAAGGGCAGGAATAAGTAAACATGGTTCTTTTAGAAAGGAAGGAATGAGGAAAAGATAATAGCAAGAATTAAAAAGACAACAGATCTAGAAGAAATTGTAAGGCAGTAAAAGTAGGATTAAGACAATGAGAGATCGGGGGAACCAGCAGTTAGTGTAATGGCTATGTTGCTGGACTCCCACGTAGTCGACCGCGGTTCGTGTCCCGGACCCGGTGGCTTAAAATTCACGCCGGGCGTGTGTGCGTGCGTGCCCAAGATCCCGAGAGGAGAATGGAGGAGAAGGGATTGCGGCGTGACCATCCCCCCTGGGGGGTGATTTCTCGCTTTCTGTCTCTATGTCTCTCTCTGTCTGTCTGGCGAGCGCACGCGCCCTACTGTGAAAATCTCTCAAAAAAAAAAAAAAAAAAAAAAAACAATGAGAGATCTGCAGGTTTAGGAAAGTCTGGGCTGAGAGGGAGATTTCAGCGTATGCCATTTCCACAGTGGGATAAGTATGGGTACTAACAAGGCTTGGGTTAGGACTGAGAGAGGAAGCTTCCAAAGAAATCATTGGAAGATATAAGCTAGAAGGACAGTACTGGAAGAATCATTTATGTGAATGTTGAAGTCTCAAATGTGAAGGCAGAGGATTAACAAACACCACCATCTTAAGTCAATGTCTTCATAAATAAATGCTATCAAGGTGGGACCAGCAGTTAGCATAACAGCTATGTTGCTGGACTCCCACATAGTCGACCGCGATTCGAGTCCCGGACCCAGTGGCTTAAACTCACGCCAGGTGCGTGTGCGTCCGTGCCCAAGATCCTAAGAGGAGAATGGAGGAGAAGGGATTGCGGCGTGACCATTCCCCCGGGGGGTGATTTCTCGCTTTCTGTCTCTATGTCTCTCTCTGTCTGTCTGGCAAGTACACGCGCCCTATAGCAAAAACCTCTCCGAAAAAAAAAAAATTTAAATAAATGCTATCAAGGAATGTCTGGAGTTCAATAGGTGACAGTCAAAGACTGGAGGAGGAGGAGACAGCAAGATGAGAGTCAATGATTTACTGAAACAACTAGACTATGCTATTTGGGCCCAAAATTTAGCCCTTGCCAGTTATGTGAGTTCTGCCAACTTTCTTAACCTTTCAAAGTCTCCATTTTTTGACTGGCAAAATGGAAATATTCATATTGTTCAGGTCACAGGAGTCTTGCAAAAATACATGAGACAAACATACAAAGTGTTTATCCCAATGCCTGGCACATAGTAAAGGCTTAAGTATGCGACCTATTTCATGAGTAATGGAGTATACACCTTAGTAGAAAAACAATGATCTAAAGATAGTGAAAATGTCAAATTTCATACCTTTCCTTCACGCCTAGAAAGGCATTTAAAATTCCTAAAAGCAAAATAAATCTGATCCATGCAGCTTTCTACAAAACAATTTTGCTAGGCAGATAATTATTCTCTTACCTATATCTTAAAAAATGAGGCAAAATGAAGTCCTTGTGGTCTAGTTACTCACATAAATAAATCCTATGTAAGATATTATGATTTAGAAATAGTACACTGGTTTTGTAACTCCTGTATTTTTTCAACCAGTGTGATATGGAAATAAGAACTCAACAGGTATTCGTAGCAATATTCGTTGCTTCTTTTGAAGCTGAAAATTATTAACAATTTTTTTTCAGGCTTTGAGAAATATGAGAGCATTTTTCATAGTAAAATGAAGTATGTAAAGAGTATAAAACAATACTTGAGTCTGTCTCTCATCCATCCTTCCGTTGAGTAGTATATGAAAGCACACTGGACCGGAACTTGAGATCAGAGAAGGTAAAGGCTACGAAGAACTGTTATGTGCACCGCAATCTAAAGAACACTTTGCATAAAATATCTCAGTCTTCACTACAAATTTGCAAGGTAAATAGTAATAATCTCTGTTTTAAAGATAGAGTGCCAGAGGTTCTACAAAGTTAAGTAACTCGATGTAGATTACATGGAAAGTAAATGGCAGAGCCAGGATTTAAACCCAGTTCCCAAACCTATGATCTCTGTACCATCTCATGGTCTGTTATTAAAAACAAATAATATGTCTTAGAAAGAAATGCAGAGGCTTTTATAGCGCATTTAGTATTTCTGGACTGGTCCTCCTTCTTGTTCCAGCAGTTACATACCTGTTTTCTATGAGAACAAAATCCAGATTCACAAAGAAAACAATGATAAGTGGTTAGAGAACATAATTAAAAAAAAAAAAAATTCTGACCTCATCCCAAAAGGCTGTCACATTCTCCATGACTACTTCCGTAGTTGTTAAGTTATATTCCAAAGTCTTATACTCTTGCTTTTGTAAGAAATCCTATTTATCAAAGAGAGCAAAAACATACCATGCAATCAGTATTGCATTCATACATCATTACATCTATTTTACACTCCAACAGTGCTGCATTTTGTTTATGGATTTTTCTTTTTACTTTATGAGAGAGGGAGTGAAAAGGAGAAAAACAGCAATGGGGGTCTTTTTAGTTTTGTTTAAATTTGTCATATGGTGCATGCACTTGTCAGAGAGAGACAGAGAGGGAAAGTAAGAAAGCTCCCACCCCATGAGGGATGGCCATAGTGTAATCCCTTCTCCATTTCCCCTCCTGATATTTTGGACACACATGCATATACGCCTAGTGTGCTTCTCAAGCCTCCGGGTCGACCTTGACCCATGCAGCTAGCCTTGTAGGATCCAGCTGCCAGAACCACCATGTCACAAGCTGGCCCATAATAGGTATTTCTGACAGGTTCTCACTATGTTGTGACCCTCTAGCTCCAGCCTACCAGTTAGCTAAGATTACAGGTGCATTGGGACCAGCAGTTAGCGTAATGGCTGTGTCACTGGACTCCCATGTGGTTGACTGGACCTGGTGGCTTAAACTCACTCTGGGTGCGTGTGTGTGCGTGCCCTAGATCCCGAGAGGAGAATGGAGGAGAAGGTATTGCAGCATGGCCATCCCCCCTGGGGGGTTATTTCTTGCTTTCTGTCTCTCTGTCTCTCTGGCAAGCACACACACTCTATAGCAAAAACCTCTCCAAAAAAAAAGATTACGGGTGCATATAACTACACCCAGCCATTATACAGGTTGGCCCCAAAACTGAACCTGGACCTCCTTTGCAGTTTCAAGTGGTGGCACTATCTTTTCCCCATCATGGCTCGTCCTGTATATGGAGTTTAAGAATTCAATTTTTAAAAATGTTTTAATAAAACAATTTAAAGACAGTGTTCTAAAATTATTTTGCTCAAGGATTTGTCATATTTGAAATATACTCTTTAAATATGTGATGTTATAAAACTTTTTATGAATTAGTTGTTAACATATAACTGCTTCTTCCTTGTACTATTACATGTTAACTTTGGTGATTAATTTATAAAGCACACCTGAATTATCACTGCTAGTGTGCTTTAATTCAACATTAGGACAGAGAGAAAATAAGTCTTCATCTTTATAGCACCTCCTTATCAGAAACATAATTAATATTAGTTCTGAGAGATAAGTAAAAACACATAACTGATTTTAAGGCATCAAACCATAATTCTAAGAGAGAAAGCTTTATTATGTTCAAATCAATGTTTTTTATAACTTTCCTAGGGCAGGTAGGAGCATAAGTAAGAATTAAGTCTATGTATCCTGAAGTCTTAGCCATATGAAGTAAGAAAAAAGCCCGGTTCTTACCTTATCTCTTCCTTTTTCATCTCCATTATCTCTTTTTTGTTTTCCTATAATTTTATCCCAGTTTTTGGTTTTAAGATCTGTGTCTCTGTCTTGACGTTCCTGTTCAGCAACTTTCTCAGGCTCTGTGACATGCTTTCTCTGGGTCTGTTTCTATCTATCTGTCTGTCTATCTATCTATCATCTATCTATCTATCTATCTATTTATCTATCTATCTATCTATTTATCTATCTAATCTACCATCTGATTTAGCTCATTCTCCTACACACAACTATGACAGGGTTAACAGTGGAAGTAAAATATTCTCAGAGCTAGCATGCTTGTGAGCTACATTCACTACGTTGCCCAGGCTTATAGCTCACTTAGTCCCAGGGGTCAAACAGGTGATACAATTAAGGAAGGAGGCTGAGTAAAGATTGTGATAAGCTGGACATTGCAGGTCCTTTGTGATGGGAGCTGCCACAGTTTGTGATAAAGGAAGACTTAGTTTATTGGACATTCTGATTACTCGGAAGAAGCTAAAGACATGACTGTGTTTGTGTGACATCTCCTGATTTTAATCACTGACAACTAAAATAAATTTTAAGAATGTAAAGGTCAAACAAAAGTCTAGAAGCCAAATTAGGCCCATGGGCCACCATCTGCAAGCTCTTACCTAGATTAAATAATGGCAAAACCACCTAATAGTAGCTCACCCTTCCTTTCTTTTTTATATCACTGTGATTCATTTTCTGGGTTAAATAGTTACATAAATATCAAAAAAGTATAATAAAATATTACCTTCTTATTAACCACATAAAGGTTCGTTCAATTAGCTTTATGTAAGTAAGCTTCATCACCTGAAGATTTTAGAACTTCTCAAAGCTGCCAGCTACATCAGCATTGCTGGGACTTCAAGGTAATTAAAGGGGCATAAAATGCTATTCTAATCCATCATACTCTCCAGAGAAATGTTAAGAAAAGTTTAAAGTAGACATTCCTAGTATTGGTTGGAAAGTTTATAACTTGTTGAAGTTTCTTTTTCTATCTTTTTGCACATATGCAAAATTTATTAGAACCAATCTGCTGACTGATGACTTGAATGAAATTCTCTGAAGTATAGAAACAATTTTCTTCAATTTCTTTGATTCAAGAGAATATCAGAGGCCTTTATTTTATTTCATTAGGTTTTCATTACAAAAGCTCATTAGAGGGACCAGCAGTTGCATAATGGCTATGTCGCTGCACTCCCACATAGTCGACCGTGGTTCGCGTCCCGGACCCGGTGGCTTAAACTCATGCCGGTCGCGTGTGCAGGCGTGCCCAAAATCCCAAGAGGAGAATGGAGGAGAAGAGATTGCGGTGTGGCCATCCCCCCTGGGGGGGGGGATGATTTCTCACTTTCTGTCTGGTGCCCTATAGCAAAACCCTCTCCAGAAAAAAAAAAAAAAAAAAAAAAGCTCATTAGACCACATATGGACATCAAGAGAAGAAGTGTTGTGCATTAAATAGGTATCCAGCCAAGAATATATCCCTTTTTCTTATTTTTTTCCTTATTACTTTTTAGTTAGTATATCTTTTTTTTCTGTTTTGTTACAGAATGAGTGCACTCATCAGAGACAGAGACAAAGGGAAAAAATTCATCCCCCAGGAAGGATAGCCATCCATTCCCCTCCAGTCTCAGGATTTTAGACATGCACGCACACACACCCAGCCTTACATTCAAGCCTCCAGATCCAGGATTCAAACCATGCAACAGGCCATGTGGAATCCAGTGTCTTAACTTCCACACCACCTGTTGACCCCCCAAGAATCCACCTCTAAAGAGTCTGCCTGCTAAAAGAATTCTAACATGTCCAACATCATAGTAAATGATGCAAAGTTATGGTACATTACCTGTATTTTGTTTATTGCTCCAAGAGAGTCATACCATGTTTGTACAGACCAGGGGAATTGCCGAGTGACTGCCATGCGCAGAACGATGCAGAATGAAATGGTTGTGAATATTTTTCGAAGGATGATTCCTTTAATCAGTGCATAGGGAAACACGGATAAAAGCACAACAAAGAACCCTGAGAAGAAGAAGGCTGAGCTATTGAAGAATCTCACATAGGCCGCCTTCCGGGTGAGTTTCAGTTCTGTTCTATAAAAAATAAGTAAATAATAAGATTCAGGTTGTTCTTTTACTTTTTGAATATCAGGCATCTTGGAAAGTAAAGTCTGAGCATGGGCTCCAGAGTCTTTCTGCCTGTCTTCTATTCCTGATGCCACGATATATGAAGACACTTCACAGTTTGTGGAAAAATAGAATTAAAGTACTTGTTTATTTTGATACCAAAAAAATTCTGTACTCCATGCATGGTTTTTCATAATCCACACTTTCCATTAAAGTTTTGAAGACCGCTCATCTGAGCTGTAGATGTTATCTAACCTAAGGCCTCAGTTGTGTTTACCAAAAGGGGGATAGTGATGAATGTCCCAGTGTTTTGCACATAATACCTATAAATATTATTTAAAAATATAATCAGTAATTTCAATTGTTATTAACGTTCTTATGACTACATTATTTGTATGTCTTTATTCAATTTATTATTAACTTTTAAGGTTAGTGAGGCTGATCATTTTTTGGTTAGTTTGCATAATTAAGCATGGAAGTGGGAACAATATTAAAAGATTTACAAAAGAAAAAGACAATTCTTTGATTACAAATGGATTCTTGACATTTAGAAATTCTAGCTTGGCTCTGAGTAATGCCTAAAATAACATAGAAGAGTGATTCTCAAACCTTAGCATGGGTTAAAAATAATTACCTTGTTAAACTTGTTAACATGCAATCTCAGGTCCCCCTGTCAGAGAGACCACAAGGCTGTACTAAGTTTCAAAAGTTATAAAAACAGAACTTAAGTGACTCTGTGGCAAATAGTTCTTGAAAAGTTAAATGAGTAGACACTGCATTCTCTCTGTCTCATTTCAATGTGGTTGATTATTTGCTTATTATATTTTTGATTCTCTTTCCAGTCTGAACTGCCAGTGTGTACTATTTTAACACATATATGAGACTTAAATGCTCCAACAGGCAAAAAAAGCAGGGAGTGCAGAGACTGATGAAAACAGAGAACAATGCTGCCTTCAAGATCGGTCCCTCTCTTCCTGGAGCCATAAAACTTGGAGTCTGTTGTGATCTTTCCATTCAGCTCTCTTG